GACTTCGACGACCGGTACTGGGATGTTTGGCAGCCAGCCCGCTCAACAGCAGTCGGGGCTCTTTTCTGGTAGCAACCAGCAACCTCAGACCGGCGGCCTAGGCAACTCTCTATTTGGAAACTCGCAGAACCAGCAGCAGGGCCAGCAGAATTTCTCTACGAGCATCAACGACCTCTCGGCATATGGCTCCACGACACTCTTCAGCAACCTACCCGATAACAGCATCAAGGACCCTGGTCCTCTTGCTACATCCTTGTCCGGTCAGGCGAAGCCTAAGAGTCGTTCGATCTTGCCGATGTACAAGCTTAGCCCAGCGAACACCGCTCGCTTCGGCACTCCCCAGAAGAGGGGATATGGATTCTCGTACAGCACTTATGGTTCTCCCTCAGCCCCCTCAAGTGTTAACAGCACCCCGGGCGGGTTTGGCCAAAGCCTCTTGCTGGGAAGCACCAACAAGCTTCTCAGCAAAAGCATCTCAGCCAGTAACCTGAGACGGAGCTACAATGTGGAGGACAGCATTCTCCAACCCGGTGCATTCTCCGCGAGCTCGGGCCCCAAGTTTCTCGGCAATGGTAATGCCCATAAGAGATTGGTGATCAACAAGGACATGCGCAGCGATCTATTTTCATCGCCGATCAAGGACAAGCAAGTTCAGGACGTGGTTAACGGCCACAAGCTGACTAAGCGTGTTAGCTTTGATACAGGCACTGCTGGTGGTGGCGAGAACGCTTCACGCGACTCGCCGCGGGAATCTATTGAGACTAATTCGCCCACTACTAATGACCTCGGATATCTGAAGCCAACCACCCGTGCTACGGCTAATGGTGTGAATGGTCAAGTCACGGCTAATGCTGCTAGTGCTGCTAGTCCCCCGGATATGGAGCAGGTCAAGGGCAATGAGCTCACCATTGTTCACGAAGAAGACTCACCGGTCCAAGTCCGCAGCGTACCAAAGTCCGATGATCCTATGGAGCCCGGTGCGTACTGGATGTCGCCTACGGCCGAGGAGATTTACGCCATGAACAGAGTACAGCGCCAGAAGGTGCCCAACTTCATAGTAGGCCGTGAGAATGTCGGCAGCATCGCATTTCAGACACCTGTTGACCTTAGCGGCCCTAACATGGACGAAGTCTTTGGCAACATTATCATTTTGGAAAATCGGTCTGCGACGGTCTACCCAAACTCAGCAAAGAAGCCTCCCGTGGGCAAGGGCATGAATGTGCCTGCGATCATTTCGCTCGAGCACTCGCAGCCCCGCGGCGGTGCCTCGGTTTCAAGCAAGCGTCTGGAGAGACATATCAACAAACTGAAGGCCGATGAGAGGACCCAGTTTGTAAGCTACGATAAGGAGACGGGCGTTTGGAGCTTCCGAGTTGAGCACTTTACTACGTATGGGTTCGATGACGATGATGAAGACGAGGATGAGACGGAAATGGAGACTGCGCCGTTGGAATCGACCAAGCCTCACCAATTTCAGAGCCCTTCCGACGCCCTTATGGACACAGACTCGCCCAGTGTCGACCCGGATGACACGTTCGACTTCAAGATGAGCGGCCGACGTGGAGTACCGGGCGCTTTCGAGGAGGGTGCGTTATTCGACGAGGAGCTTTCCGATATTGGTCAGCCGCAGGGTATGTCCTCCCCTGACCCCAACAAGGCTGATGCTCCGATTCCTTCGCGCGAGTGGCCCGAGGATGAGAGTATGGCGGATGGACAGGACCTATACCAACACGAAACTTTCGAGCAGGAATTCCAGCATGGATCGGTCGATGGGCAAGATGATTTCACGCTCTCTCGATCTGCCAATAACGACAGCCAAGTGCCCGGTGGCATTATGAGGGCGAGAATGCGAGCTGTCAAGAAGTCGACGGCACCTACGAAGATTGAAGTCACTGGCGGAGACGATTGGACACAGATTCTGCAGGCCAGTGTCAAGGCACCGCGGACAATGGACCGCGCAACACTTCGGGCTCTCAATGAGTCGGGCGCTATTTGGGAGATGAAGGATCGTGGAAGCCCGGCTCCTCAACAGCCGACTGCATCTGATGGAACTGGTTTCGCCACAAGCATTGACCTGATGAAGTCGCTATTTGAGCAGGCGAAGGGCCCCACTCCGCCTGCGCAAACAGCGCCAGCCAGAGGTTTCGTAAAGGTCGGTGTTTAGTTTTGTCTCCTAGTTTCTTTACTCTTCAACCCATGGCTTAGGCGGTTAGGTGCATGTTTTGTGATAGCTTTTGTATTTATAAATTTCATGAACGCAGACTAATATAAGTCATTTGCTTCTTTTAGTGGCCCTATCAAAAACGCGCAAAAGTTGATGCCGAAGATGGCGTCCAAGTTCCACGACCTACCTGGGGCCCCAATGAGGTTTTGCTCACAACGCACCATGGCGAAACCAGCATCAAGCCGGCGGATGACAGTCTGCCCATCACGGGAACCTTTACGGGCATGAGCAAGAAGCTCACCCAGCTTCAGCAATACATCGACAGCACATCAAATGACGACCATGGCCATCAAGCGAGGGAACCAGACCTCCGCGAACTGGCCCAAGGAGACCCCGTTTGGGAGCTGGCTTCGCTACTCTTTGACAGCAACGGCTCCAACTTGCCTGCTTTCTGGAGACAGACCGTCTCAGAAGCCACAAACCGCGCTCTTGCTCAAGCATCTACCCCTGAAGAAAAGGCGATTATTTGCCTGTCGGGCAACCGTGTGGCGGACGCCTGTGGCCACTTGCTTGAGAGCCGCAACTACCGTCTCGCCAATCTCGTCGCTTGCATCGGCACCCAGAGCAAGGATATTCGCGCCCAGCTAAAGGATTGGCGCGACTCGAATGTCCTTGCCGAGTTCTCTGAGCCGATCCGCGCCATCTACGAACTTCTAGCTGGTAACGCATGTGTTTGTGCGGGAGTCAAGAATGTCCCCATTGAGAACCGCGTCAATTCCTTCACCATCTCTCAACGTTTCGGCCTGGACTGGATGCAGTCCTTTGGACTCCGTCTGTTCTACGCCACGGGGATGCCGGGAGGCAGCACGACGGCAAACGACGTCGCCAAGGCTGTGCGCGCGTTCCGATCAGACATCGAGCAGGAGCGAGAGTCGGAACCCAACTGCCCGCTCTGGACGCTACTTAAGATGTTTGCGGCCCAAGAGTTTGACTGGTTGGACCAGCGGCTCGGCTGGCTGCTCACCAAGGCGATCCACGCGACGGGCAGCGTGTCGTTTGGGCCCGACGCGGCGCAGAAGCTCGACATGGCGTCGCTGTCGTTTGCGTCTGCGCTGACGGTGCAGTCGTACTGGGTGCCCGCGACGTTTGTGCTGCTGCAGCTGTCGGACCCGCACTCGCGCGAGGCGGCTGTTAGGGATCATCTCGGGCGCCACGCGCATCTGATTGGCAGCTTTAAAGACCCCAAGAGCGCGTTCGCGGCGCTGCGCGGGTTCGGCGGCAGGCCGGTGCCGGAGAGCTGGATCTGGGAGGCCAAGGCGCTGGACTTTAGGGCGAGGCAGGATGCTAGGCAGGAGTTTCTGGCGCTCGTATGGGCGGGCAATTACAAGGAGGCGAATCATGCGTTTGTGCACCGTGTTGGGCCGGATCTGGTTATTGAGAGGGACTTTGCGAGGTTGGTGAGGTTTGCGGAGTTGCTGTTCAAGGTGCGCAAGAGTTTGCCGGACTGGGAGCGGGCGGCGGCTGTGTATCTGTTGTATCCTCTGGCGTTGGCTGAGCGTCAACAGCAGCAGGGAGATGGTGCGGCGGCGTCGGGTCCTGCAGATCGGTTTGATGGTCAGCTGTTGGAGGGCTTGGTGGCGCTCCGGGCGACGACGCATGGCGATGTGCGCCAGGAGGCGGCGATTGCGGATATGGCGGAGGGTTTGATCAAGGCTAAGGGGGGCATGGTGTGGATACGAGGTTGTACCAGTTGTTGCCGGAGGATATGCGGGCTAGGTACTTGAGGAGTCGGGCGCTGGATACGATTCATTGAGTTGGTGGGTGGGTGGTGAGAAGGAGGGAGGGAAGGGAGGAAATGGGAGGGAGTGGATATGATTGTGATGAATGGAGGAGAAGAAAAGGTAGGGAGGGAATATAATGACGGAAAGAAAGAAGAGAAAGGAAGAGGTGGATGCGGATTCCTCTTGGAAAGCATGAAGGAGCGAAAGTTGATGATGACTTTTACTCGGGCTTTGGCTTCTTTTCTTTTTGCTTGTCCTGGGGGAGAATGGATGGATGGGTGGGTGGTATTAATGGACGAGAAAGTGGTGGAATGATTTTGCCCCCTTGCCCTCCTCCCTAGTTGTTGTTCTATCCAGACTGCAACATATGATGAACACAACACACAACCCGATTCAAGTTCGTAGAGTATGATGATGAGGTATCATCGGGTAGATACCACTAGCATTAGCCAGCCCTTAATAGGTAGATTTCCTAAAGCTGGCGGGCAGGATTGCAGTAGATAGTCAGCTGTAGGATAAAAACAACGCGTGGTGTATAGATACATCAGCCGTTCTTCAGTATGTATGTTCCTTCTTACCACGATCGCTAGATGTGAGCCTGTTGTTTATGTGAGATATGGGTGTATTATATGTCCATAGGGATGGTTATATACCATGTATTTTACGACAGGCAGATGGTAAGCTGCCTTGTTCAAAGTCAGAATGTCATTACTACATAATCCATAATGTCACCCTTCCATGTCTTTTTCATGGTAAAACACGCGCCGAAGTGCAAATACACAAGGGGAAAAAAAGATTGAATCTTGAAGGAAGTATTATCAAACCCTGAAAGCTAAGAGGATTTAACAAAGTAAAAAAGACAATGAAACCGATCCTGAAAGCGAATGAAACTGAACATGAAGGACGTTCAAACCAGAAAAGGACACAGCAGTAAATGAAATACATAACAGTCAGCACTAGAGCAAAAAGATAATTAAATCAGAATGCAGTCATATATGTATGCAAAATACAAAAGATCAAAAAGAAAGCACCTGCTTATTGTGCGTCGGGAATTGAGCCCGACGTGGGGGTCGAACCCACAACCTTGAGATTGTTCAGAGTCTGAAGAAGATGTGCATCTTACTCGTATTAAGAGTCTCACGCTCTACCGATTGAGCTAGCCGGGCGGATGCTGTGATGCTTTTTGATGAAAGTGTGGGTTGCTGTTTAGGCTTATGGGGAAGAGGAAGAGAAGGAGAAGGAGAAAGAGCTTGAGTCGTGAAGTGGAACTGTGGTGTTTTACTTTGTGGAGATAATGATATACTTTAATGATATGGGCAAGGATCGGGTTGATAGCTTGATTGTTTGTTCGACTGATTTATGGTTAAACTTCAAGTCTAAGTTCTACGCTTCTTACTCTTAAAGTGCGCCTTGCTTTTGGTTCTGTTTCTGGCATGGAAGGGAGGGTGGTGGAAAGTTTTGACAAGGCATTAACCTTATCGTTTGGTAAGAGCTCCTGCAAGTGTTTGTGCTTCTACCTTAGTGGAAGGTCTTGACGAAGAGAGGTAACTTGACCACTGAGGCAACAGCTTGCCTGGGATGTCTTTACTGAGTTCATATGTTGTGTTAGTTGTCTTTCAGACTGAAGTATGGTCCCTAAGTCTTCACACGACGGAAACGTTGATATGATACACCCCCGCCCAAAGAAACCAGCAAGAAGGACCATACCACTACAGTTAAACCATTCATTATATCAATACACGTTAATAAACTTAGATCTGCGTCCCATACGCGTACATTGAACCCATGGTGAAATAACAGCAGTCTAGTCCCCTAGCCCTACCCACCAAGCCGAAGTCCGCCTGATTCGCCTTGTTCTCAAAAGCGCTGTCAACATACAAACTTGCCAGGCGCCTGTCTGGTTTCCATCCCATCCAGTAGTATTCTACCATATCCTGTCCTGCCCCGTCCTGCGCCAAGCAATGGTATCTTCGAGATAAAAAAAAAAGAAAACACACTACCTACCTTCCTCTATTCTTCCCCTTCATAACACATATTGACCAAAAGGAGGGAAAAGAAAGGATATCCTTCTCCCAACCCAATCCCTTTTCAACACCCACATAAAGAAAAAAAGAGATCAGTGATGAGTGATCAATATCTCCCCGAATCCTTCATATCCTGCGCCCTCGTCTCCCCCTTCACATACTCGCTCAGCCGCATGTCGTTGCTCTCCAAGCCGTGCCCCACCATATGATTCCTATTAGGTTCATACGGTGGCAGCATAGGCTCTGAGGACCGCATGCCGTCCGACACCAGGGCGGACTCGGCCGTCTGCTCCACCTCCAGTAGCATAGGCATCTGTTGCTGTTGCTGCTGCTGCTGCTCCTCCCTCTGCTGGCGATAGCGATGTTGCATGCCGTCGGCGACCAGGGCGGCCTCGGCAGCGCCGTTGTCGCCTTCCTCGTCCAGCGGGACAGGCACGAAACCCCCTCCTGTTTGGTGGTGGTGTCCCATCCCCATGTTCATACTGATACCTAGCCTATTGGACATGCTGCTGGGACTCATCATTGGCGGTAGGTTCGCGGGTCTTAGGGGAGTGGTGGCAATGAGTACTGCTGCTGCTCCTGGCCCGCTACGGGCCGGCGAGAAGGGATGGTGTTCATGCTGTTGTTGCGATAGGGATTCACGGCTGGGCCTAGGCCACGCTGCGGTGCCGTCGCCGTCGCGGCTGTCATGGTGCTGCGGACTGACGTATTGCGCGTGATGATGCCTTCGCTTGGGGGTGGTGGCGGCGGCGGCCTGGCTGCCCCTAATCTTGTCGTGGTGGCGGCGGCGGACTCCATGAGTGGGGACGAGGATTCCGATTTCTTCTCGCTGGCCTCTTCCATGGCTCGGGCAAGGGCATCTGAGACTTCATTGAAGCGGGAGATTTTGGTGTAATAGTTCTCGCCGACGCGTAGGACGGTGAAGACGATGGTGTGGATGTATGAGAAGCTATAAGGGGGGGTCAGTTCGTCCGTGACTATGTATGAGAGGGCTGGGGGAATAAGGCGTAAGTGAGTACGGACATGAGACCAATGGAGATGAAAAAAAAGGAGCGCTCAAAGGCGCAAAGATGGTCGAGTTGGCCGTGATGGCCCGCACCTTCGTCGCTGAAGCCGAGGGTTGTGAAGTCGGGGGGCGGAGGAGAATCTGAATAAAGCGTGTGAGTGATAAAATTCTACTTCGGTATCCGAATCAAGATAAGACAGAGTCAAGGTGAGGTACCTACCTGGCGACGTCAAACCACTACAGTGTCTCGGAAGGCCAGCCTGGGAAAGCAGGCAAATAATAGTAAGATCTAATCCGATGAAGAGCACGTCAGATGCTACAAAGAAGGCGAGCCACCCCGTCTTTTTGGACCGCTCGCCCGTGTGCTGGACCCAGATGGCAAGAGTGCTGTACAAGAAAGTGATGACGATCAAAAGCTCAAGAATGACCATGGTCTCCGAGAGACCTATGTGTTTTGTGGAGATGAAGGCAAACAGGAAGCCATTCAGGACGGCTGAGGTCAGCGACCCCAGCAGTTGGAAGGTGCGGAAGAGGACGAGCCATGACGACAGTTCCCATGCCATTGCTGCTGTGGTTGCTTGGCTTTGGCTTGGGCCGACTTCCACGCGTCCCGAATACGGGCGTGGGTGTGAGGCAGACAAGCAGATGGGGACAAGACAGACAAAAAGTAGAAGACAGAGAGGAAAGTGGAACAAGGATGAGGGAGCGAGCTGTGGTGTTTTGACTGAGCTCCGAACAACTGCTGGGACTAGAACTACACTATAGAGCTGGAATCAGGACCCAGGTCGATAATGGACGGCGGTGGTGGTGGGCACAAATGTGGTGGGAGCGAGACAAGAGACAAATCAAACCCCACAGAGACCGCTGCTGGATGGCAGAGCTGAGAAAAAGGAGTAGTGCCAGAGAGGCAGGATAGTGCCAAAGGCATGGAGGCTGTGCTGCTTTCTTGTGCCTTGTTCTACACTACTTTACCTCTACCTGACACTTAGTACTGGTGTATCGTATCTCGTGTATCCAGGTATCTGCGCTTTGCAGTCACTATTAGTTACATGACATGCACGTCCCATTGCACAGGGTAAGCGCAGGCTGCTGTTCCTTGTCCATCGGAGCCATCCGAACGACTTGAACGGAAGCCCGAGTGGATCTGCAAGAGGAGGGGGACTCGGCAGCGCGCTTTTATTCGATTCGTGATCCGTGATTCGCGACCGACCAACTGATCATAACTGCAAGCAGCTTTGCGAACCTGATCCTGGGAGAATCGCGAAACTTCCATTTCGTTAGTCCCGTCCTGTCCAGTTGACTGTTGTCAACTTGTCACTGACTGGCGAGCAAATTCCGATGTCGTGCCGCGCCGCTTGTGCGCACTGAACACAATCGAGACACCCCAACAATGCTGTTGTGTGCGCTGTCATCATCTTGGTCTGTGGTCTGTGGTCTGTAGTTTTGGGGGGGCAGAGAGAGGGGTCTGGGATCTCTGTTATCCTGTAGAGTCTGGACGACAGGGAGATCGGGCAACATGGAAAGCTAGTGTGTAGGGACACAAGGTGTTGGGACGATCGCCCATCGACTTGCCCAGGTCGGGTTATAGACTAGGTAGTTCCGTCGTGCAGCAGTACCGTGTATTCAAATGCGAGTGCCCCGCCCCATACCCGACAAAAGGTAGTGGACGGTGGCCGGTTCCATCAAAGACAGCATCAGAGTGAGTCAAGGCAGCAGGCAGGGCTGTATCATCGCACCACCACCGACTGCACGTCGATGGAATGTCAGACGGCCGGTACTCAACAGATGAAGAACGTGGAGGGCAAGGAAGGAGGGGGGCATGGAGCCTTCATTCAGGGCGTATGTTGAGGACGGCAGGGCGGCAGGCCAGGCACCAACCATGCGTGATTCCATGTCGTGATTCGTGATTCGAGGTTTGAGGGGTGCCCATTTCAATTTCTGTGCCCATTTTCCATGTTTGTAAATCTGTGCTATGCTGTGCTGTGCATCGCTGCTGCTGCTGCTGCTGCTGCAACTCCTTCTTTCCTCTGATCGAATCGCTCTTTCCCTTCCCGCCAAACCGAGCGAGCGACGCGTAATCGGCAGCCACGGAAAGAGGAGTGGGAGGTTCTGACGGGGGGGGCACAGCCTCAGGCCTTATACGGGATTCCAGTGGACAAGGGGTAGTCGGGGGGCTTAAAGGGCGAGCTAGTGTGGCCCCCATGGCTTCTGATTGGCGAAACGTGCGCCTCTCATCAGATGCACCTGACAACTGCCCGGCCCCGAACAGAGATGAGGGAGGGAAAGAGCGGTTGGACACCTTGGGGGTCCAGGTCAATTAACACTTAACAGATTGAAACGAAGAACTATCATGAACCGGTTGCTCCTTCCATTTTGATTTGTATCCACATCCCAGCTTCCTTGTGTCTTGGAGCCAGTTTGTGACTTTGTGTTCTGTGATTTGAGCCTCTTTTCCTCTTTTATCGACAGGACACAACTCTTTCAGGCCTCATTCCGGGTCCTCTTAGTTCCACACTGTTGGTCAAACATGCATGTAATCATGCGTCTCAACAGCTTAAGCACCTGGATGGCTACTCGCAGAGCTGCCAGAAGAGCCAGAGATGCCGAAAAGGTCGACGACGAAGAGTCGACGAAGCGGCGGAATGGACTTGACATGTTTGCGGCCACCGTCCGTCTCTGGCTATGGCTCTTATCATTGCATATATGTGCTTCGTTTGCCTTTTTCGCTCACAACCATGACCGACACGGAAACAGACAAGGCCGGGTGATAGGGGCGCTGGTATGTCTCTTCCTCATAGGCCCCTCGCGGGCAGCTGTTAGTCTTGCTTAATGGTAATGTACTTACTCGCTCTAGAACTTTGTCGCATTCACATACCATACTGCCATCCTCGTTTCCGCCTGTATTAAGCTACGCAAGAGGTTCAGGTCGGCGGCATGGCGCTTCTTTTCCGTGGCCACCATTACTGGTGATCTCTTCTTCATCGGCCTCGCCATCGCACTCATGACCGCCTTGGCCATGGCCGGAGCACTGGCTCCCTGCCACGAGGGCCCGAGGGCAAGCTGTAAGTTTAACTGAATCGAGAGACACTGGGACCTATTCTTTGCTCACATGTTCTGTACAGTTATTGCAAATCAC